ATTTCTATTCCTTCCTTTTTGAATTCTCCTTCTTTAATTTCTATCATTCAAACACAACCTCTCTTGATGCTGTCCCATGAATCTCATTTATTGTCTTTATTATTTTTCATTCTTCTTCTCTCTTGTATGTCTTCAAATACTCCATTTTTAAATTCAGATTCAACAACAGATTATCTATTCTACCCAGTCCATTCTATCTGGAGTCCCTTGCTAGGCAGAAATGGCTATTGGTCACCACAGGGACAAAAGATGTTGCTGTCTTCTGAGGAGCAGGCTAATGGGGACCCCAGTGTTCCTGCCACGAGGCTGAGACCAACAGTTTCCATCTCATTCCTGCCATCTCCTGCCCTCTCAGATATGTTCCTCTTGCTCACAATTCCTTCTGTGAGATATTCTCCTCCTCCCCTTTCTCCTATTCTACTGTGTTGCTGCAGATTCTTAAATAGGCCCTCGAGCCCTCCGAGGGCTACTTTGATTTGTGGACAGCTGTCTTCAGTGAAGACTGCCGTCTCCTCCTCTCTCTACACTCCTGGCCCTAGGATTCTGAGCCACACCCCTTGGGCCAGGGCAGAGCTCTGGCTACAGAGGAGTTGACCAAGGGTTCTCAGAAGGCTAGTGGCATCGGGCATAAGACTGGGGTCTTCCTTCTGCCCCAGGAAACCAGGCCAAGCCCTAACTGCCCACCCCAGGGCTCTGAAGCCCTGCATCCTCAGAGTTCTCAAGGCACTATGAAACAAAGGTGGGTGCCTAGGGGGTCTTCTTGCCCTGTGCCTGCTCGTGGCTCAGAGACTGGTTCTAGGGGATCTGTCGCCCCTCAGCTGCCTCTGCCCTCAGCTCCCTCACAGATCAGGCGAGAGGCCTGGGCATGTTCTTCAAGTTCCTGGGCAGTGAGTGTTCTCCATCCCCTCTGTCCCTCAGAAATCCCCTGCCTATTGCAGTTTGGAGCTCGGGGTCCCCTCTTCCTGGGCAGACTCATCTGACTCTTCCCTCCCCTTGGCTGTGCCTTCTTCCCCAGCTCAGCGAGCCCCTGGTGAAAGCGCCTGCCTACTCTGTGCTCCCCTGGGTTAGATCTTAGTCCTCAGGGGCTGCGAGGCTCTGCCTGTTGGTCCTCCCACTACCCCATCCCCATGTGGGATGAACCAGAGGTCCAAGCAGCACAAGATTCTCTGGGCCCAGCCTCCGCCCAGTCTCGGCCCAGGGAGAGGAAGGGGCATGAGCTGGGCAGGTGAGTTGGGCAACCATCAATAATAATAGTGCAACTACTCAGTGCTCTCTTCTACCAGTGGCCCTTGTAGGAGCTCCCAATAACCCACCTGGGGTCTGCTTCAGTTTTCCCATGACACAGGGCTCAAGGGCTTGCAGGAGGTGCTGTGGCAGCTGTCAGGGGGGCACAAGTGGGCGTCCTGCCTTTCCAAGCTCTGTGTTGATCCCAGGGAGGTGGAGAGACATCAGAGATGCAGCCACCAGCAGCTGATGGTTCTTCTGGGTGTGGAGGCGAGAGGCTGGGGTTTGAGCTGGTCCCAAGCTGCACGTGGTGGTGGGGGGGCAGAGTGAAGTCATGCAGAGCCTGGGCCCTGAGGCACATGGCTGAGGGGGAAGATGATGTTCACCAGGTGCCTCCCACATAGCCCGAGCAGGACAGGGACGGGGAGCAGCTCTCCTGGGCTGAGAGGGCTGTGCTGTGAGGGGAGAGTGAGTGGAGCTGGGCTACAACACGGATAAGCCCAGCTTGTGGAGGGAGGGAGCCACAGCGTGGGATTGGGAACAAGGGCGGTATGTCCCGAGTTCCCACAGGGCAGGCTCAGCCATGTTGGCACAGCAGCCTGGGCCTGTGACCTCAGCCCTGTCCAGTACTGGCCTTGATGTCATTGAGGGTGCCCCCAGAGACTTGCCCAGCTTACTTGAGAAGGACTTAGACCTCACAGCTCCTGTCTGCCCTGCTCTCCCCACTTTCACTCTCCCCTCTCCAGAGGAAGTGGCCTTGGATGACCCACAGCAGCCCCCTGGCAGCTAGAACCCCAGGGAGCATCACTGGACAGCAGGACAGAGCTATCCGGGGGTATTGGGCCAGAAGCCCAGGACACTGTAGGTGGGGGACTCCAGGGCTGGGGAGCTAGCAGTCCCACCTGAGGTCATTCACACCACCTGGCCATGGCCCAAGGTCCCCACCACCCACACTGCAGTGTGTCCAGACCACAGGCTGAGACTCCATGTGCCTGCTTACAGTCCACGGTCCCTCTGTGTGCCTGGGAACCTGCAGGAAACACGTCACCCTCTAGGAACTCAAGGTCCCCATGCCACTGCTGATGCTGCCCCACCAGCCCCGGCTCCCGCAGGCTCTCCCCCTGCTGGAGGCTCTGCTCAAACTCTGGGCCTCTCTGGAGTGGCCATGGCTCCCCGGAGGCTCCTGAACCTCATCCTGTAGGAAGGCTCGGGGCAGCTGGATCCTGCCTGTGCCTGCCCAGGACAGGGCCTCCTCCAGCCTGGGTTTCAGCTTTTCCATCTGCAAAGGGGGCTGTCAGTTAGGGGCTATTTGGAGGGCCACAGACGGATGAAGGTGGCCTCCTTAGCTCAGGGCACTGCCCCCATGGGGTTGAGACATCGGAGCAGAAACCTCTCTGTTGAGCTGGTCCCTGGTATCATCAGGTCCCTGGCAGCAGCCCAAGCCGATTGTGAGCTCAGATTACCTTTAAAAATTCCGAAAGACTCCCTAACATCTGCAGACCCATTTACACCTTGAGGGGAACTGAATCATGTGTTTCTGATACATTTACAGCTGGTTTGTGACGGGCTGTTCTGCAAGGGACAGATGAGGCCAAACACCCTGGTTGGAATGGCCAAGATCCTCAATGCCCAAGGCTGACTGTCATCTCCCTGTGGGGACACTCCCAGGGTGAGGGAAGCTCCTCTTGGAGAGCTGGGGACAGAGGCAGCATGACAGCCACAGACCCCAAGGCAGCCAGGCTCCTGGGGTCCAGCCGCAGGCTGAGTCAGGGCCGCCGTCCCTCACCTGGGCAGTTCTCTACTCTCGATGGGGTTGCAACAGAGACCCCTCGACGTTGGGGACAATGGCTCACCTGGATCAGGCCCCTGTGGGCGGAGTCTGACGGAGGGCGGAGCCCACGGGGAGGGCAGGTTCTCGGTCCCCCTCCTGCGTCATCCTGCTGGACAAGAGACAGCACTCTGAGCTGCTGGAACAGACACGTGTGTACTGCCTGTGGCCGGGGACGCTGGGAGCCCGGAACCAAGGCATTAAGGAGGCTGGCCCCTTCTGCAGAATGAAAGAGGACATGCCCCAGGCCTGTCCCCAGCTCCTGGTGGTTTGCTGACTATCTTTGGCGTTTTCTGTGTAGGTTTCTGTCCCTTTCTTATACGGACATCATATTAGATTATTTTTGTAAAAAAAAAAAAAATCTCAAAATGAGCTTCCATTCTTCAGGACTCACAGTCAGGCCTTCAACACATCTATTTTGGAGGACACATAATTTAACTTATAACACTTCCCAGTGGATGGAGAAACTTAGTGGCCCTGAAATGTGACCAGGGCAGGCTTGCTGGGGAATCAGCAAGTGGACACAAGTCAGCCAGGGCAGAACAGTAAAGTGTAGCTGGAAGCAGGGATCCCCAGAGACCACTGTCCCCAGGAGAGAGCTGGCCAGCAGGGAGACTGGCCTGGGAGGATCTCAGGTGGGCAGCATGGCAGAAGTTGGCCCCAGTGATGGGGTCAGCCTCCTGGGCAGCACCTCTGTTCTGCACTCTGCCCACTGAAGTCTCAGAGTCTTAGCAGCTCAGGTTTCCCTGGCTGACCAGAGAAACAGATTCCAAGAGATGCCAGGGCTAGCCAGGAGCTCGGCTCTTGATGGAGACCCCAGGACCAAGCCCGGGCAGGAGGCATCGCCTGGGGATCCCTCACGCGCCAGGCCCCGGAAGACCCCGTTAAGCTGCTGAGTCATAAATGGGGCCGCGTGTGGTGCGTTCAGCATGGTGCTGAAGTCCCAGCCAGGGAAACTCAGCAAGAAAAAGGAAGGGGAATCAAAAGGCACCCAAACAGGAAAGGAGAAGAAGCAGGACTCTCCCTGTTTGCTGATGGCGTGATCTTATGACAGAAAACCCCGAGGACTCCACCAAAAGCATTCAGGACTGATAAATTCAGTCAAGTCCAGGATAGCAAGTCACTGTGGGAACTTCCGTTGTGTTTCTCGATATCAACAGCAAACTCTCTGAAAAAGAAATTGAGAAAACAATCTCATTGATGGTAGCCAAAAAAATAATGCTTAAGAGTTGACCTATCCAAGGAAGCAAAAGATCCATGCGCTGAGCCCTAAAAAACCATGATGAAAGAAAAAGGCACAAATTAATTGGGAGAATTTATTCAGGAAGAATTAATATGGCTAAAATGCCCACAGCACCCAAAGCAATCCACAAACGATGAAATCTCTAACAAAACACCAAAGACGACCTTCACAGAAATGGTAAAAGCAACTGAAAAATTCCTGTGGAACCATCAAGGACCCCAGAGAGCCAAAGCCATCCTGAGCAAAAAGGACAAAGCTGGAGGCGTCCGACTACCTGGTGTCAACTTCTGCCGCAGAGCTATTCCCATCAAGGCCTCAGGACCCAGCCAACAGGGCAGGACAGAGTCCAGAAATCAATCCACGCAGCCACGGCCAGCTGATTTTTGACAAATATGCCAAGAACACACAATGGGGGAAGGACAATCTCTTCAATCAACGGTGCTGGGAAAACTAGGTGTCCCCAAGTGGAAAATGAAATTGAACCATCATCTCACACCACATCCAGAAATCAACTCAGAATGGACTTGGAATCCCAACCAACGTCAGCTGAAACTATAAAACAAGGAGAAGAAAAAACGGGCAGATCTCTGAACCCCGATTGGGGCAATGATTTAAAAAAAAATGACTCCAAAAGTACAGAAAATAAAAGAAGAAAAATAAATAAAAAGGATTTCATCAACCAAAAAATGCTTCTGCACAGCAAAGGGAACAGTCGACCCAGTGGAAAGACAAATGGAAGAAAAGCCGGACTCAGTGGCCACGCCTGTACTCCCAGAGGCTCAGAAGGCTGAGGCAGGAGAATCATGAGTTCAAAGCAAGCCTCAGCAACTTAGCAAGGCCCTAAGCAGTTTAGCAAAATCTTAGCACAAAAGCATCAGGCACATCCCTACATAAAAAATCAAAACAAAAAAAAGGGCTGGGGATGTGGCTCAGTGGTTTAGCACCTCTGGGTTCAATCCAGGATACAAAAAAAAGGGGGGGGGAATATTTGCAAACTACAGAAATGACAGGAGTAACCTCCTCATTATATACAAGATATTGTACACAAAATATATAAGGAAGACTGGGGTTGTGGTGCAGCGGCAGAGCGCTTGCCTCGCACATGTGAGGCCCTGGGTTTGATCCTCAGCACCACATGACAATAATTAAATAAAATAGAGGTGTTGCATCCAACTACAACTAAAATATAAGTATTTGAAAAAAATATATATATATATATCTAAGAGAATTCAAACAACGAAATGGCAGGACAACAAATAACCCAATTTAAAAAATGAGCAAGGACCCTGAACACACGGAGGAAGACACAAATGGCCAACAGGTATCTGAGAAAATACTCCATAATCTCTAAGCATCAGGGAAACAAAACCCCGAGGAGACACCACCTCGCACAGTTAGAACAGCCTCATCAGGAGGAGTAGAAGCGCAGGATGAGGGGGAGGAAGAGCAACCTGGCACCCAGCAGGTGGGGAGGGCAATGAGCAACCCCACGTGGAATGGAGGTCCCCCAAATACCACGGTCAGAACCCCCCGTGACCTGGCAGCCTTGTCCCCTGTGCTGTGCAAAGGATCTCAAGGGTAGGTCCCAGAGGACAGAGAAGCCTTCCACAAGAGCCAAGATGAGGTTCAGCTCCAGCATCCGTGCTCAGAGGCAGCAGGAAGGAAAGGGGTCCCTGCGCCATGGATGTGGTTCATTCCCACGGGGGGGGGGGAGCACGGCACATGCCCCAACATGGGTGAGCCAGAGGGTTATGGCAAGGGACAAGGCCAGGCCAGAGCAACAGAGCACACAAACTCATTCACTTGTGGAATCTAAAGTCAAACTCAGAGAGGCAGGAGTGGACCAGGGACAGAGGTGAGAAGGGGCAGTAATGGAGAGATGTTGGTCCAGGGCGCACGGCGTGGGTTGGATAGGCGGAAGGTTCTGGAGATCTGTAGCCCAGCATCCTGGTGGTACTAAATAATAATGCACATTTCCAAACTGCTGGAAAAAAGAGAATTCAAATGTTCTCACCTTTAAAACTTAAGCCTGTGTTAATCAGCTTGATTTCATCATGCCGCACATCAACGTGGCACACGGCACTCCCTAAATACAGACGATTATTATTAGTTGATTTTAGAAGCGCACGGGGCTGCCTCTGGGACAATGCTCCCCACTCGACTGAGATGCGGCTGAGCGCTGGGGAGGGCAGAGGCGGGTGTCTCCAGTTTCTCCTTGGTTTCTGATTTCTCTGCCACGGCCACTCAGCACTTGGCACCAGCACCTGGTGCAGAGTCTCTGCAGAGTCTAGCTTCTCGGGATCCCCGAGTGGCACCCACCAAAATGCTTGAGAGGAGGGGCCGCAGGGGGCAGGAACACAGGCCTGGAGCCCCCCCCCCAGCCCCCCCCCCTCAGGATGCAGCCCTGGCAAGGACCCTCCCCCCGAAGGAGAGCTGTTTTCCCCTGAGCTAAGTGACGTGAGCCTCAAGGGGACTCTTCTCCTCCGAGGTGGTGACCGAGCACTGTCCACTCGGAAGGACCAGGAAGGCCTTGCCAAGCCCGGGGCCTGTCCCCAAGCCCGGTCCTGCTGATCCAGCAGCTCCGAGCACAGCCGCCCCCGCAGAGGCCGCAGCCTGCTGGCCGCAGTAGCTGTAAGCCTGCCAGGCTCAGGCCGGCTCCGTGCTGTAAACACTTCCTACTGGCCGGAGGAGAGAGAGGCTTCTGGTCCCCTGAGGCCCCAGCCTCTGCTCCCTTTTGCTGTTCCAAGTGACCATGGAGGAATCCGGCCACAGAGGCCGGGAACTCCCCGGCTAGCCGGAGGTGCCACCCAGGGGGCCTGTGCTCCCGGACACTGGCTGCCCTGTGGGCGATGCTGTCATGGTTCTTCCCTGCATTCTGCAAGCTGCAGTGTTCCTGGGGTGTCTTACCACTGGCAATTTGCTCGTGGTTTTCAGTGTGTGCCAAACGAGCTCCGCGGGCCGGCCCTTGTTCTGGAAGCAGGCCGGGGACATCTGGGGCTCAACCGCCTACCCTCAGGGCTGGGCCTCCAGCAGGATTTGGTGTCCACATTGCCTCCTGCGGCACTGTCCAAGGGTCAAAGCCACGAACAGCAGGGCCTTATGGTGCCTAGCCTGACTGACCAGGCCCTCTGCTCCTAGCCCAGAGCCAGGTTGTGTGGCCACTGCCACCATCTCCAAACTAGAGGACCTTAATCCCAAGGAGCTGGGCTAGATTTGAAGAGGCAAATCCAAAGGAAGGGCTCCTTACCCCCAGAACAGCTCCCCCTACTGGACAAGCCAAATCACCCCACACCTGTCCCTCCTCTGGGACCCCCTTCTAATCAGTAGGTCCTGGCTGCGGTAGGGACCAATCCAGTAGCTGGAGAGCTGCCTTGGGTTCCTCCCTGATACCCTAATCCAGTGGGGCTTGTTCCTCCCACTGCATTGTGTCCCCTGGGCTCCCTGGAGCAAGTCATCTCCATCTCTACGTGGACCAGGGCAGACCCTTCTGCCTGGACTCCTGGTCCCTGTCGCCCAACCTCACCCAGACCAGACATTAGTCGGAGACTCCAGGGCAGGAAACAGGAAACTCTGAGCACATCACAGCCCCCCATGTTTCCCCCTCTTGAGCCCCACTGGCCATGAACACAGTTCTCCTATCTCAATATACCCTAGAGCTGGACTCTCAGCCCTTAGGGATGCTCCTGTCAAATGCTGGACCAAGGAAACTTAATCCAGCTGACTGGAGTGGGCAGATGAGGGCCAGGTCCCTTCAAGTCCCCTCAGCCACGGCCATTGACTGATCACCTATCCTGTGCTGACCCTGCAGCCCTACTGGGCTTATCCCTGTGCTTTATCAGCTTTTGCATGGCTATGACCAAAAGACAGGACAAGAACAACTTGAAAAGAGGAGAAGTTTATTTTGGCTCACAGCTTCAGAGGTTCACTTCATGGTCAGCTGACTGTCTCTGGGCCTGAGTGAGGCTGATCAGCATGAGGGATGGACCCAGAGAAGGAAAGCAGCTCAGGACTTGGCAACCAGGAAGCAGAAAAAGCTCTGCTCCCCAAGGTCAAAATATGAACCCCAAAGGTGCACCCCCAGTGACACACTTCCTCCAGTTACACCCTGCCTGCCTTCAGACATACTAGGTTAATCCACATCAGGGGATTAAGCCACTGGCTGGGTCATGCCCCTCATGATCTAATCATCTCACCTCTGAAAATTCTTGTATCATCTCACATATGAGCTTTTGGGGGACACCTTATATCTAAATCACCACACCCTGCAAAGGGAGCAGGGTCCCTGAGTCCCAGTGCCTGAGCCAGGAGATGTCAGCCTGCAGCTCCTCGAGAGATGGAACCCCCAGAAGGGAGCCCACAGACGAGAGACAAATCCACTCTTTGGGGATGAATTGATTTTTGACAAAAATGTCAAGAACAAACACGGAGAAAAGACACTTCTTTACTAATGGTGTTGGGAAAACTGAATGTCCTCATGCAGAAAAATGAAACTAGTCCCTCTCTTCACACCATATTAAAAAAAAAAAACAAAAAAACAACTGAAAGTGGATTAAGATTCAAGTGTAAGACTCCAAATCATAAAACTACTAGAAGAAAATGGAAGAAAAACTCTATGACATTAGTCTGACCAATGATTTTTTTTTATTTGACCCCCAAAAGCAGAAGCAATGAAAGCAAAAATAAAGGGATTACACCAAACTGGAAAGTTTCTGCACCAGGAAGGGTACAATCGACAGTGAAGAGAGAGTCGATAGAGTAGAAGGAAATATCTGAAAATCACATATCTAATTAGAGGCTAATGTCTAAAATTGACAAAGAACTCAAATAACTCAATAGCAAGAAAACAAAGAGCCCAATTAGAAAAATGAACAAAGAATGTGAACATATATTTCCCTTTAATTTTTTTTAAAAATAGGGGGCTGGGGTTTCGGCTCAGCGGTAGAGCACTCGCCCAGCATGGGTGAGGCCCTGAGTTCGATCCTCAGCACCACATTAAAATAAAGATATTGTGTCCAACTACAACTAAAAAATAAAAATATTTTTTTTAAATTTTTTAAATAGGTGCATTATAATTATACATGATTATGGGAGAAATTGTCTGAATGTACATTTCTTTAAAGAACACATACCAGTGGCCAAATGGTATATGGAAAACACGCTCATTTTCATCCTGATCAGGCAAATGCAAATTAAAAACACAGAGGGGAATGTGCCTACTCTGGCTATTTCCTTCTTGGGACACCAACCAGATCCAGTATCTGGGTGCCTGAAGGTTTACCACCACCACCTCAGGATGTGGCCACCTCTATCTGGGGAACACCGACCAGGGCTTGAAGGTGCATTATCAAGGTGTCTCCAGGTGTGGTTATACCAGGGACTTCCTGCTGAATGTGCAAGTAGCCACCCCACTGCTGAAGGGGCAGGTGAGAGATGGGCTCTCTCCAGCTCTATTAGTCCTAAAGTCATGAAGACAGAGGGAGCTGGCCACAGCAGGTCAGAAGGTAGGAAGAGGCTGTGAGGGATCTTGTTCTCAGTTCACACAGATACCCACCGGATTCCTGGGGCCCTCTCAGGCTGGAACTCACTGGGCCTCAGCACCAGCTTGGTCCCTGACTGCCTCTCCAGTAGGGCACCCACCCATCCGCTGGTCCTGCCAGGTCTGGCATTAGTCTGACACCCAACAGGGCCTTCCAGCTCCCAGTCCCCAGTCTCCCAACCCCTTCCTAGCCACCAGCCTGGCCCAGCCCTCACAACAATGTGGCCAACCTCCATCTTTCAGACCTGGTCCTGATCTGCTGATACAGAGCAGTTATGGGCAATAGGAGCACAGGCCTGGAGCTCAGCCTGGGAGAGAAGGGCCTGATGTCTTCATAGAAGCTATTTGGTTTAAGGCTGTATATTGTTTGCATTGGGTACTGTTAATATTGATCAACCCTTAATAATGAGGTATTAGAGCCATCAGGGACACTATAAGTCTACAGGGTAGAAACTCTACTACCACAAATCCACACTGCTAGATGGGAAGACACACCAAAAACATGCAAAAAAAACCAAGTGAACAAAGTACCCCAAACAAATCAAGATGATCCCATAATAGAATCCATTGACAACACAGTTGAAGAATTGTCTGGGAAGGAGTTTAGAATGTTCATAGTTAAACTGATTCACGACATAAAAGATGATGTAAGGAGAGAAATCAGAGATAAATTTCAGGAGGTGAAAGATCACTTCAATAAAGAGATAGAGATTATGAAAAGAAATCAAACAGAAATTCTTAAAATGAAGGAATCAATAAACCAAATTAAAAAATTAATGGAAATTATCACCAACAGACTAAACCATTTGGAAGACAGAACCCAGGCAATGAACACAAAATATATAATCTTAAATAAAGTCAAAATTGGCCATAAAGGAAAAAATGGTAAGAAACCATGAACAAAACTTCCAGGAATTATGGGATAACATGAAAAGACCAAATTTAAGATTTATCAGGACAGAGAAAAGTATATAGAATGCACAATCTTTTTAATAAAATACTCTCAGAAAATTTCCCAAACTTCAAGAATAAAATGAAAAATCAATTATAAGAGGCTTATAGGACCCCAAATGTACAAAATCACAAAATACCTACACCAAGGCACATTAGAATGAATATGCCTACCATACAGAATAAGGTTAAAATTTTAAAGGCCACAAGAGAAAAGTATCAGATTACATAGAGGGGAAAACCAATTCAAATCTCAGCTGATTTTTCAACCCAGACCCTCAAAGCTAGGAGGTCCTGGAATAACGTATACCAAGCCCTGACAGAAAATGGAGGCCAACCAAGAATTTCACATCCAGAAAAATAAAGTTTCAGACTTGAAGATGAAATATAAAAACTTTTCTTGATAAACCAAAGTTAAAGGAATTCAGAATTAGAAAGCCTGTACTGCATAACATTCTCTGCAAAATATTCCATGAGAATAAAATGGGAAAATCCCCTGAAAACCATCAAAGAGAAGTACTACACTAATAAAAAATACGAGGAAAAGGAAAAGATGAGCAAAGGAGAAACTAAGTCAAATTAAAAATCAGAAATGAACTAAAGTGAGCAAGAATCCATTCATATCTCAATAATAAACCTGAATGTTAATGCCTAAAATCATGAATCGAAATACATAGACTGGCAGATTGGATTGAAAAACAAGACTCAACAAAATACTCTCTCCAAGATACATACACCTTGAAGGCAAAGACAACCACAGACCAAAGGCAAAGGATGGGAAAAAACATATCACACACATGGACCACATAAACAAGCAGAGGTTTTGATCCTCATGTAAGATAAAGTGGACTTCAAGCCAAAGTTATCCATAAGGGATTAGGAAGGAATTTTCATACTGCTTAAGGGAATTTTTACAAAAACAAGACATAACAATCATAAATATTTATGCAACAAACAATGGAATCTATTTATATCAAACAAAGACTTCTAAATTTCAAGAATCAAATGGAACATGGTACAATAATACTGGGTGATTTTAACATACCTCTCTCACTACTGGATAGATCTTCCAAACAAAGAGCTACATAATACAATAAATAATTTGAATTAACATATATTATAGAGAATATTTCATCCATTAATGAGTGAATACACTTTCTTCCCAACAGCATATGGATCCTTATCTACAATAGACCATAGCTTTTGGCACAAAGCAACTCTTGGCAAAAACAAGAAAATAGAGATATGACCCTGCATTCTATCAGATCATAAAGAAATAAAATTAGAAATCAACAATAAAATAAAAAGTACAAGTAACTCTAACATCTGGAGACTAAATAACACACTATTGAATGATGCATGGATGACAGAAGAAATCAGGGATAATAAAAAATATTTAGAGGTAAATGGCAATGATGATAAAAATAATCAATAAACATAATTCATCACAGCAATAAACTTAAAGACAAGAACCATATGATCGTCTCAATAGATGCAGAAAAGACATTTGACAAAATACAGTACCCCTTCTTGTTCAAAACACCAGAAAAACTAGGGATGGTAGGAACATATCTCAGTATTGTAAAACCTACCTATGTTAAACCCAAGGCCAGCATCATTCTAC